CAATTAAAAACTAATGAAATAGTTACAATTCTGGTGCTATCAGAGGGAAACGGGCACAAATCGGTAAAAATTGCCGAGACACGGGAAATTTCTTGGGTATGAAACCATTCGCATTAAGGGGTGATATTGGATTTACAGTTTGAAAAAGTCGATTTTCTTGTTTATTAACTTCTACAACATATCTGGAATATTGTCCAAAAATTTTTAATTGATCAGAGTAAAGGTCTCCGAGAAAGCTTTGAAAAATTGAAAGGCGCACAACCAATTTCGATGAAATTTTGTACACGTCTTCAAGATACTATTGTACTTTATTCAATGCTTATTTTACATCGCTTCAAGTCGGATGAGACTATGTGGCGGTTGATTAGGACTTTTTCAAGCTGGTTAGATCTCACCATTCTATCCGACTCGGAATCGAACCTGGAACCTATCCGTTGTGAGGCAACGACCTTAACCACTTAACCACACAGGCCACCGGTATTGGACTTTTTGAACAAAGGATTTTTTAATCGTAACCATTTTTTAAGATGCAAAATGTAGTGAAAAATTGCATCGAAATTGGTAAATTTTCATAAAAAGGTCTGCCAAGTATCCAATTATTCAATTTCTATTTTCCCCCGAGTTCAAAATTCACTCTTCTAGAGTTTTTATATTTCCGGATTTAGGAAATGTTTATTTCTTTGTTGCTGTGGGACCTTCCTTTTGTGTTATGAAAAAAGGGGAAAGTCCCGGAGGGACTTTCTCATTTCAGGTTTTTCCAAAAAATACATCTGGCGACCAGAGAGGGTCAAGAAAGAGAAAAATCCAAGGGTTGAGGATGGAAGGAGAAATTATATTACCCTTTGGAGAGGAGTGCAATGTGGGCCTTACTAGTAATCTTTAGTTAGTTGGTTGTAAGTCTTCGTTCAGTAAAGTACCTCTTAACTGTCTAGAGTTTTATAATATTGAAATAATAATTGTCAGTCTTAAAAAATTCTCCAAGTGTTTATTTATTTCGATATCCATAATCCAATATTTCCTGTCTTCAAAAACTGGTGCAAGGTGTTACCTTAAAGTTAATTTCGGAAGATCCTGTCATGAGATCTGCTGCCAGCCAGAGAGTAACTTTTTTCGAAAGGGTCACCGAAAATTTCAGAAAACCTTGTTTAAATGTGTATCTTTAACATAAGACAAAGTTTGTAAAAATATTGTATTTTCCAGATGAAAAAAAAGAGATGAATATATGCTGTTTCGCCTTGGAAATCGATGTAACCCGATGCATAATCGGAAGGTCCCGGGTTCAAATCCCGGTCTGGACTATCCATTTTTCAGTAATTTTTCTTGTAAAAATTATATCGAGAATTATTCTGTTCCCCTTCCTACCTAATCCAAATCCTATCTAACGACTCCTTTGACGTCACAAAAATGTGGAACGCTATAAAAACTTCCCGTCTACTATGTAGAATTCAATTTCTAGTAAAGTTTTCAGGGAAATTTGTAATTACTATTAGAAATAATTGTAGTTATGGTACAGAATTTCTGTTTGTGGTACATACTTGCTGGATCATTCCCGGGCTATCACTGGACATCGCACATCCGATAACTTTCATCGAAAGATAGTGTTTCGTCTCGAGAGGTGTTTCTTCCTCGTGGATGACCGCCATTGCGCAGGCATGGGCGACACCTTCGCGACATTCAGGACGACCTTTTTGACAGATTATTTGGTTTGGGTTCAACTCGTCAAGCTGCACCTGACAGATTCCATCATTGAAGTCAAAAAAATTGTTAATGATCACTAACCTGCCTTTTTATTAGATTCCTTTTGCAAACTATCGATTTTAAGAAAAATTCTCATAAGATCGTTTTTCTTGAAAATTTAATCAGCTACAAAAAAGTTCTATAGCGCTTTTACCTCAAATCGATAGTTCTCGGGATAATAATAAAAATCGGTACGAAGAATAGCTCTGTTAATGGTTTTATCTTGTTATGATGTTTTTAATTTTTACGTAAAAGTAGGACTGACTTTTCTGTTTCCAAAGGGGAGAAGATTCATGATTAGATTATTCCTGAACTCGGAATATCCTGGCACTAATTGTGTTCTGAATGCTGATCTGCTTTCTGGATCAAGAGCTGTGTAGTAAACATTTACGATTATGCAAGGACAAGATCTGCACGGCTCCTCTGCGGAACACTGCGCAATTAAAATATTTATACTTTAATATATTATATATATTATATATTTTTTTATCATTATATCATTCTATATTCTACTACAAAATTTATTCACAAATCAGACCTGAATACCCGAAGAAATACCCAAGAAAAATTCGGGTACAGCACAAAAAAAATAGAATATTCATCAGTCGATTTGTGGCCCAGAGTATTTGGAGGATATCTCAGAATCTACTGGAAAAACCGAAATTTTCCTCATGACCTTTATTATAGAGAACAACAAGATCTAAAAAAAAGGTCATTACAAAAACATCGATATCTTCCTTAGATTCAGAGATATC